CTGCCAGTGTCCACACAGTCAGGCAGCTGCTCACGCCCTTCACCATCTCAGGGGTCCTACTGGTGACTTCCATGAACTCATCTCCAAACCTGGCCTCTGAGTGTGCATGCTACTGTAAGCAACTATTGATTATTGCAAATTTATGAAGTGAGGTTTGTTTGGTTTTGCTTTTTGGGGCTTTTGGGGGTTTTTTGCTTACAAAGATTTTATTTTTAAACAATCTCTACACCCAATATGGGGCTCGAACTTAACAACCCCGAGATCAAGAATCGCACACTCCACCGACTGAGCCAGCCGGGCGCCCCCTGATTGTTTCAGATTCAGAATAAAAACTTTTTCTCCATCAGTTTTAATTCTTAGTGCAGAAAAGCCAGACTCAGCATGGTAACAGTGATGTTGCTGGGAGAGTAACCGTTGGGTCCGGGAGACTCGCAGAGCAGCCGCCCAGCTGCCTGCTGATGGGGACACCCAGCTCGCTGCAGGGGGGCGCGTGCAGTGGGAAAAGGTGCTTCCAGTGCGCTGGCTGCAGCAAGTGGCTGTCATCACGTCAGCACAGGAACCATACTTCCCAAACAAAGAACTCTTTACATATTAAGCATTTTCATAAAGAATTAAAACTGGATCCCTTTACCATTGGCTCACTTCTGCAGGTAAAACTGGATCGATTGAGGAAAATTGTCACACACACAGTGGAAAGGTATTAACCACCTCCTGTGTGTTATTTGGGAGGAAAGGCAGTTGGGACAGAAAGCATGCGTAGGCTTTCAAGGAACCCAGGGTCTCCTGAGGAAGCCTCATCTGCAGGCCTAGAACCTCGGGACGATCCCATGGCGGCGATGGGAGTGTCCCACAGGCAGCAGGGAGATGGGTCAGCTGAGCCTCAAGGATCAGAGGAACATTCCAAGGAGGCGCCTTCCAGGCTGCGGGGAAATCGCTCTTGTATGCAGGGAACAGGGAGTAACCGGGCGTGGCAGGAGGTGAGGTTGATCCCTGGAGCAGAACAGGTTTTCCCCAGAGCCAGGGCCTCCAGAGCTTCCCCAGCTCTGCCCCAGTGTGGCACCTCTGTCCTTGCCCTCACTCACGATGGCTTTAAGGGGGTGGCGATGGGAGGCAGACTCCCTACCTCAGGCTATATTTGCCCAGGAAGTGGTCAGAGGGTCTACCCCGGATCCTGCTTCCGACCATCTGCGCCTTAAGACCTTACCTCAGACCGCTTCTCAGGGCCCCTGGACTGAGCCCTGGCTCATGGTTGCAAAGGCGGGCAGCACACACGCCTGAGCACCTGCTGCAGACTGGTGTGGACAGTGCAGGGTATAGTCACAGAATGCTAAAGGTGGACAGGCACGGCCCCGCCTCCGGGGCTCTGACTGCATGGACACGCCCAGGAAGCCTGTTGAAGGTGACAGTCACTGTCAGGTAGCCGGCCCTCCCGTGAGCGCCTTACCCACGTGACCACCTCTACCCCCGTGGGAGGTGGGCGCCATTACCCCCTTGAACAGATAAGGCTGGCCAGCCGAGATCCAGGGTCCCCCTTCCTCCTCCAAGCTCAGAACCCTCCTCTTAGAGCGTGAGTAGGTGTTCAGCAGCAGGGATTTGAGCAAAGGGTGGTCAAGGAAGCAGGTGCACGAGATAGCCAGGGGAAGCCCACCACAGGGAACACGGAGCCGGGACAGGGAGAGCATCGACCAAAGCTCAGACTCCAAGGCCTGGTCTCGGCTGAGGGTGCTGACCATAGGGGCGTGAAAAGAGTGCGCGAGAATAGAAAGTCTCAAAATTCCCAGAATCCACAAATCCTTCCAGGTTTGGAAGTCTCACGAGGGGGCTGGGCCGGGGACCTCACCAAGTAGACTCAACTACACGTGGAGTACTCATCGCCTCTCTTAAGAAACCTCGTCGTCCAATCGCTTCATGAATTAATGAAGCTCATTGGCCTGACCTTGTTCTCTCAGGACTGGCTTTGAATTCTCCTGCATTTGTGGCAAGGGGATGGGCAGGAAGGTGGCCCGGAATCACGGTCCCTGTGTTAGCCTGTCAGAGCTGCCGTAACCAAGTACCATACACTGAGCTGCGTAAACGACACGCATTTATTTCTTACAGCTCTGGGGACTAGATGTACCACCCCAGTCTCTGCCTTCGTGTTCACCCTCCCTGGGGGTTTGATTGTGTCTGTGTCCAGAGTTTCCCTTTTTATAAGGACAGGGTCATATTGGATCAGGACCCACTCTAATAACCTCATCTTACCTTGCTCACCTGCAAACGCCTTATTTGCAAATAAGGTCACATTGATAGGTGTTGGGTACCAGGATTTCAACCCCTTTTGAGGGGACACAGTTCAACCCATAACAGTCCCCAAGAGTGCTGTGTAAATTACCAGCCCCCACGTCCCCCTCCCCATCAACAACGCCCGCGGGAGAGACAGGTTCCTTCCGGATCCCATCCTTTGTCCACCACAGAGGCAGCTACGCTTTGTGCACTTGTTGGGAATACCTGGAAAGCCAGGGACCCTCCCGACACGGGTCGTGAGCTGAGTAGAGAAGCTTCTGTAGGTGTGAAGAGACACAAAGAGTAGCCAAGGCATCTACCCTGTTTCTTGGGCAGAAGCTCCGCTCCCCATGAGCACGTTGCTCTCCGGAGGTAACAGAAAGACCCAGAGCATAGGGAGTGTGCCAGACATCTGCAGGTAACTCCAAATCCACTCTTACTCAAAACATCTACATATGGGGTGTTTAGATGCAGATGAAATAACACTATTAAGACATTTTCTAAATTTTGCAATAGATACTGGAGAAGATTAACCTGTTATGATAGCATAATCCAAAATTTGACATATGGTTTAATTTCAGATACACATATTTCTAACAGCTTTATTGTGATATAATTCACATACCATATAATTCGCCCATTTAAAGTCTGCAGCCCATTGATTTTCAGTATAGTCACAAAGTTGTGCGACCATTTATACAATCAACCATAGAACGTCTCATCACCCCAAAAAGCAACCTGAACCCCTAAGCTATCCTCCTCCAAACCCCCATCCTCTCCAGCCCCAGACAAGCACTAACCTACTTCCTGTCTCTGAAGTTTGCCTATGTGACTACATTTCATTCAACTCTGTATTTTTTTTAATTAGGAAAAAAAAAAATTGAAGGGAATTAGAAATCCTCCCAGACAGAGGATGACTTCTAGTGGAGAGTGGCAGAATTCGAATTTTTATTTTCCTCTCTCTCTCCTTTTTTTTTTTTTTTTTTTTAATTTTTCTAATTCTACAATGAGCCTGAGTTGCTAATACTCTGGGGGAGGGGCGGGGGGACCATCTTATTGTAAAAATAGAGAACTGTCTTGTCATTTTTAAGTCGTCCGTGGGGATTATTCCGAACACTTCCTCAGCACCTAAAAAAAAAAAAAATCACAGTCTTGTTTTATGGGAAGAAAATGTATCCGAGTTCCAAACAACTGACTTCAAATGGGAATTTTGGAGCACACCTGGCTAGAATCTGGAAATGCTGGCTGGCTCTGCATTGGATTTCCTGAGACCTGCCCCCCGCCAGCCCTTGGGTCCCATTCCCCAGCGTCTTCCTATCCTTCTTCATCAGGTGGCCTCTCTCGGCCCTGAACAAATTGTTGGTTCGGGCCTGCAAGAGACCCTATAATTAAGCCACATCCTTTTGCCTCTTTAATAACATTGGAGACAGAGAGTATAATTCTGTGAGGGGACAGAAGGAATATGTAATTTAGTGTCCTTTTCCTGAGCCAATATGAGCTTGGTGCATGTAGCATCTTGCATACTTCAGGCGTAAAAAGTGATCTGATGTCTCAACAAGTGTGTTATGTGAGCAAAATATGCACCGAGTTCATCCAGCAATCAGGGGCTCTTTGGATGTGTGTCTGGCATCCTTGGGAGTGTCACGTGTCCCCTTTTGTCGATGAAGAGACTTTACACCAGCCCGGCTGGGTGAGTTCACAAGACACACAGATCCTGGCCACTGTCACTAGCCTGGTGCCTAAGCTGGAAAACCTGGGTGCCATCCTTGACTTGCCTCATTCTTCTGTGCCTCCTGTCAACTCGGTTTGACCCCCTTCTCCCCAGTTGGCCCCTTTTCCTCGATCCCTGCTGCCCCACACATTGCTCACTGTGTGGGGGCAAAAAGCCCTGAATGTCACCTCCTGTGTACACTGTGGGCCCTTCGTGGTCTGAGCCCTGCTCACCTGCCTGGTCTCATCAGCCTAGTATCCCCGTTCGCAGCCCAGCAGACCCCCGTGTTCCCAGGTGTGTTGTGAGAGCCCCATCCGTGGGTTCGTAATCTGGATCCCGTGGACAGAACACGAGAGGACCCATGAGCGTCCTTAAGTAGAGCACATCACTGTGCGTGCATGTGTTTTTAGGAGGAGGGTCCTTGGCTTTCATCAAATTCTTCACCAGGATCTGTGAACCCCCAGATTGAAGAGCGTTGCTCCGGGCATTTGAACGTGCTCCTCCCCTTGCAGGCAATGTCTCTCCTTCCCACCTGGTGAACTATTCTTGCACTCTCTGCTCATATGTCACCCACTTGCCTGCTTGGTGGGCCTTTCTCGGTGACCCCGTGGCTCTGTCTTTCCCGACTGGGATTTAAACCCTTGTTTGCATACCTGTTTCCCCTATTGGACCACAGCTCCTGGGGCTAGGAGCTGTCACTCTGCCCCCGCCTCTAGCACACTGTCTGGCGTACGGCCAACTCTTAGTAAATGCTTGCAGAGGAAGGAGAAGGGACCGTTTTCTCAGCTGGGCAGTGGGACCAAGTGTTGCAAATGGCTGCACAGCACTGCTCCTGCCCCGTTACCCTCACCAGCGGGGCCCACGTGGACTGGTGCCCCTTTGTGTGTTTTCAGCCATTTACCCCGAGAGGAAGGAACCAGACTTCTGTTTGCCGTGGGAACTCACTAGATGTGTGATGATTTCTCAATTACCTCTTGACAAATTTTGAGCTCTTTGTTTTTCTTTTCCTTCTTGTATTGCTTTTCAGATTGATGCACTGAGTAAAAGAAGCAAAGAAGCTGAGGCAGCCTTCTTGAATGTCTACAAAAGATTGATCGATGTTCCAGGTAAGTCCGTGCACTTACAGAGACCACCAGTGGGTGTTTTGTGTTGGTGCGTTGGTGGGTCTCGGGCTTATTCTTCTCAGCTTCCCTAAGGGAATTAGACCAGCAATGGCAGCTCCCCAGGAAACTGGGCATTCTGGGAATATGGCTTCTCCAAAACCCAAACTTTGGATGGGTATGCAAATCAGATGTGTATTTGCTGAAGGTAATCATATAACTTCCACTTGATGCCTTTGTAAATGCAAAAACCCAAATCTGGGGCTACCTTTAGCTTCAGTATAAAGAGGGAAGAAATAGAACCCATGTGTGTGCCATGCAGACATCATGAATGTTCTTCCCAGCCATGGGAATTGCTCGCTTGCTCTTAGTAATCCTCTGAACATTACTGGTATTACTAGAGCGGCTTTTAACAAAGCAGAGCAGAAACACATCTCCTTGGTGTCTGTACGTGTAGTCCAGTTCAGGTTCACTAGGCTCTGCTGTCCCCTCTGGGAGTGGGAGTTAATGGAGGCCAAACCAAGCTGGGGGTGGTGGAAAGCACTCTGGACACTTGGGACATAGAGGAGGGAGACACAGATTCTCCTGCCAGGGCCTGTTGTGAGGTCTTGGTCACATCCTTTTCTTCTGTGGACCTCGGCTTTTCTCATCTGGGAAACGGAATAAGGGGAACAGCCTAGTGATGAGAATGGTTTTCTTTCTTCTAACTTTTCGCTGTCTTGGGAGCATATCCAGCCCGTAGTTCTAAATTCTGGCCATTTGATTTTCTGTAAGAGTTTCTATCCACTTAGGGGCTCCCCAAACATCCTGGGCAAGGCTCATGAGGAGGATTCTTCACAGTAACTGCATCATTTGATGCCTGACGCGCACTCTTTCTCAGGAATCGGCGACTTGGTGGGCCTGCTTGCGTTTTCTTTTGCAAGTTTTGTGTGGGTGACTTAGTTGAAAGGGGACAGGCTTGTTTTGTCTTTGCCAAAGACCCAGAGAGTCTTTAGCTGCTGTTTTCTAAATAACCTACACTCTCTTTTTTTTAAAAGTCCATTTGTACCTGGGTCTTCCCTTAGTGAAGTTTCTCGGCTTTAACAAGTTACCGGCTTTCCTCTTCTGCATTTATACTCCATCTTAATTTCCCATAGAAAAAGAAGAGACAGTTTTTAAATCAACACTCCTCTTTGCCTGAGCAGGCTGCATTCATAGACCTATAATTTTTATAGAATTTTGATCCTAACATGGGTAGGTATTTATACTCTGCTTTTGTCGCTTAATGTTATGCCGTCGGCATTTTTCCCATATTGGTGATATTCTTTATAGTTCTCATTTTTGGCTGGAGAATTCAAGTTTGCCGTTTCAATTTAAGGTGGTAGGAGCAAATGATGTTTGATATTTTCTGTTAGAGTAAAAGTCAATCAAAGTACATCTGCATGCCCCATAGATCAGTTTTACTTACCTCGTAGGTATTTCTTTCTTACAAATGCTATGGTCTGACAAATCTAAGTTCCTTGAAAAGCAGGAATGGACCTTGGAGCACTCTGCCTGGGTTTTGAAGTCTGCTTATTGCTCAGATGAAGTAATCCTGTGGCTGAGCCTTACAGGAAGGGCCTGGTCAACAGCATTGCATTTACTGACAGTGAGGCAGTTGGGGGGTGTCAGGGTGCCTTAACTGTCTGTGTGCTTCAGGCCGTGATCCAACTGAACCCAGAAACATTGGGGGGGGGGTGTTAAGTTCTAGTTGTAAGAAACAGAAACTTAAACTATGTCAGAAAAGTCAAGGCAGCTCTCGGGAATAATGGGATGGGTATTTCGGCTATGTGTCATATGGCCCAGCTCCAGGAGCCCAGTAAGAGCCGACCAGCTGGCTCCAGGAAGAGGTGGAGACAAATCCCCACCAACTAAGGAGGCTGGCCCAGAAATCTGACAGAACCAACCCCCGCTGTCCCCCATCCATACATTTTTTTTTATAAAGATTTTATTTATTTGAGAGAGAAAGAGAGTGAATTAGCAGGGGGAGGAGCAAAGAGGGAGAAAGAATGTCGGGCAGACTCCACGTTGAGCGTGGAGCCTGACGCGGGGCTTGATCTCATGACCCCGAGATCATGACCTGAGCCGAAACCAAGAGTCGCAAGCTCCAGAGACTGAGCCACTCAGGTGTGCACCCTCTCCCCACCTCTCCACCCCAATCCGGAAATTTTGTGTCTTGTCTTGTTTCTCGCCTGGTGGTCCTACTGGGATGAAAGCTCCCTGAGGACAGCTTTGCTTTATCACCCTGTGCCCAGGACTTGGAGCAGGGCCTGGTGTGCCGCAGGTGTGATACGTTGCATGCCCCAAGGGGGTGCATCACCCCAGACCCGCCCCGGAGTCCTCAGCAGCAGAGCTCACCAAGGGGCACACTAGTGGCTCTTAAAGCTCCATCCCGGCTCAGTACTGACTCCTCCGAGTGTCAGCTTGCATATCCAGTAGCTCCTGCGCATACCCGCTGGGGTGACAGGTGGGCACCCCGAAACTACCCAGTGTGTCCAGAGCAGGCTGGCTCCTTCTTGCATTGCCTCTCTCAGCGAGCCTCACCACCTTCAGCCCAGCTGCTCACGCCACAGCACAGGGTCAGCACGTCCTGGCCATTCTGTCTCCACAATGTTCTTGATTCCATCCGCTTCTCTCCATCCCTGCTTCTGCTCTCCACTTCGTAGTTCAGGCCACCCTCCTCATGTCTACAGTATCTGGAATCGAGTCTCCATGCTTGTAGGAATGGGTTATTCTTCACCTGCAGGCAGGCCAGGCCCCCTCTCAGCTGATACTTTACTCCTCCAGATGAACTTGAGGCACTCCTGCGTGACCTCCCAGGTCTGCTTAGCCCTTCTC